TCCTGACCTTGTGATCTGCCTGCCTCGGCCTCTCAAAGTGCTGGAATTACAGGCGTGAGCCACCGTGCCCGGCCTCTGTTGGTTGTTTCTTTTGCTGTGCAGAAGACTTTTAGTTTGATATAATTCTATATGTCTATTTTCGTTTTTGTTGCATATGCTTTTGAGGTCTTGGTTATACATTCTTTGACTAGGCCTATGTCCAGAAGAGATTTTCCCTAGATTTTCTTCTAGAATTTTTATAGTTTCAGGCCTTACATTGAAGCATTTTATCTGTCTTGAGTTAATTTTTATCCGTTGTTGAGAGATATGGGACCAGTTTCATTCTTCTGCTTATGACAATCTAATTTTTCCAGCACCATTTTTTGAATAAGATGTCCTCTCCTCAGTGTACATTTTTGTTGACTCTGTTCAAGATCAGTTGGCAGTAGGTATGTGGCTTTATTTCTGGGTTCTCTTTTTTCATCCATTGATCTATGTATCTATTTTTATGCCAGTACCATGCTGTTTTGGTTACTGTAGCCTGGTTGTATAATTTAAAGTCAGATAGTGTTGTTTTTTGCTTAGGATTGCTTTGGCTATTTGGACTCTTTTTTTGGATCCATGTGAACTTAGCATTGTTTATTCTAATTCTGTGAAAAATGATGTGGAATTTTGATAGGAATTGCATTGAGTCTGTCAATTGCTTTGGGCAGTATGTTCATTGTAATGATACTGATTCTTATAATCCATGAGTGTGGGCTATTTTTCATTTGTTTGTGTCATCTATGATTTCTTTCTTCTTTCATCAGTGTTTTATGGTTTTTTAAAATAGAGATAGAGATATTTTACCCCTTAATAAAATGTATTCCTAAGTATTGTTTTTGTAGCTGTTGTAAATGGGATTGACTTCTTGATTTGGTTCTCTGTTTGATCTTGCATTGAAGGATTAGTTATTTATTCTAGTCTTCTCTGTCTGGCTTATTTTGTTTTTTTTGGGGTGTATTTGCTTAGAGAGTCTTCGTAATTTACCTGTTAATTCTGTTTCTTTTGTTTTTCCTTCTAGGCTACCACTGCCTCTTTTTTGGCACTAGATAGTGCCTTAGGCTCAAGTTTGCCTCAGTTGTAGTAAATCAGATTCGTACCTGTTCCCAAATGGGGGAGGTTCCAAAAGGGATATCTTGGCAGCCTAGGAAGCTTTCTAGGGGTTCGTGAATGAGGATCCTGTGAAACAAACCTCCTCCCGTGTGGCGATGCTGAACAGCCACTCTGATTTGGCATCTCCTTTGGCCAACGTCCAGAGCATAGTTGTCTAGGCTGGGGATAGTAAGTCCTACCTTTCCCGTTTGTCACTGACTGTCCTCAGGGAAATTTCTCTTTCTGGGCACTCTCAATGCTTCCTGTGACTTGAGGTAGAGGCAGGTCTCCTGCCAAAGAAGCCAGGGTGGTGGAGAAATAGATCGAATGCTACTTTTTCCAATGTAGAAGCTGTGAGTCAAGGGGAAGTTTTCCATGTGTTTGTTACTGGACAGATTGGAGGGCAGAGCATTATGGATATGGAAGTCTAAGCCTCTTATGATTGGCTCAGAGTTTTTCCACTTCTCTGTAGCCCCAGAAACTGTCTCATCCTATATCTGAGTTAGGGTATGTTGCTGGTGATAATATTAGTGCTGTGTATTTGTTTTCGGTTTTCTGTGAGGGGCGGGGAGTGAAACCAGCTTGCTTCTGCACTGCCATTTTGGAATTGGGAGTCCCAGTTTTGTCAATTTTTGTTTCATACATTTTGAAGCATCAAAATCAGAAATGTATTTCTGATTTTTGTCCTCTTGATTAAAATGGACTATTTATCATCATGAAATGTTTCTTTTTATCTCTGTCTTAAAGTCTACTCCATTTGAAATTAACCTATCCTTTCTTCTAGCTTTCTTATGCCCTGATTGGATGCTGTATAATTTATCTTTTCTCAACTGTTTTATTTCAGCTATCTGTATTGTAACATTTAAAGTGTATCTCTTGTAGTTGGAATATAGATGCTCCTTGTTATTATTATTTTTTAATCCTACATTCTCTGCTTTTTAGTTGGAGTGTTTAGTCCATTTACAGATAATGTAATCATGGACATAATTATAGGTCTACCATTTTATTACTTGTTTGTTTCGTATATATATTTTTTCTCTCGTCATTCTTTTTTGCCTTCTTATGGGTTAAAATAAATTTTTAGAACTCCATTTTAATTTGTTAATTGACATTTTAGCTACACTTCTTTATATGTTTTAAAGTGGTTGCTTAGTAATTACAATATTCATTCTTAACTTAGAGTCTACATTCTACTTAGATCTAAATATTTTACCACTTCACACAAAATTTAAGAGCCTTACAACCATACATATCAATTTACCCCCAATATTATGCTGTATTTTCACATATATTATGTATAAATACATTAAAAATCCCATAATACAGTGTTATAATTTTTACTTTAAAGAGTTAGAAGCATTTAGAAATTAAGGAGAATGTAAAATTTTATATTCACTCTATTAATCTGTTGTCACACTGCTATAAAGAACTATTGGACACTGGGTAATTTATAAAGAAAAGAGGTTTAATTGCCTCACAGTTCTGTAGGCTCACAGGTTTAATGGGCTCACAGGAAGCATGGCAGGGGAGACCTCAGGAAACTTACAGTCATGGTGCAGTGTGAACAGGAGGGAGGCACGTGTTATATGACTGGAGCAGGAGGAAGAGAGGGAAGGGGCAGGTGCTATACACTTTTAAACAACCAGGTCTCATGAGAACTCACTCACTATCATGAGAACAGCAAGGAGGAAGTCTGTCCTCATGATCCAGTCACTTCAAACCAGGCCCCTCCTCCAACACTGGGGATTATAATTTGACATGAGATTTGGGCAGGGACACAGAACCAAATTATATCACTCACCAACATGTTTAACATTTCCAGATATGGAGACAGAAATGACTCCATCCTGGATGTTAATCTTCCATGTTGACTTCTGTTTAACCCCAGTCCTGGGAATATCTGCAAAATTTCTGCTTTACTCACTCTTCCTAGTGTAACAACAGATCAATCTTGATGTCCTTGCAGAAATTGCCAGCTATGATGCCTATAGTACTCTTGCCTGTCTGGAGTGTGCCTTTAATTGCCTCTATAGAGCACATATACCCTTTTCTTATGGTATAAAAGCCCTGGTTCTGGGCAGTAATGGTGCAGAGATCTATTTGTCTTGCTGCCACCCAAGACTACACTTCTGTCTATGAGTTCCTACTGATAAACTGGATTTGTCAGCCTCATTCTTTGACTTCTTGGCTCCTTCTGTATTTGGATGTCACTTTGCATAGATGGCCTTTTCATAAAACATGAAGGATTTTCACTTATTCTTGAAGATATGAGTTTCTGTCTATGTCACCTCCCTTCATTTGATGAACTCCATTTAGTGTTCCTTGTAGTACAGGTCTGCTGGCAGTGAAGCCTCTTAGTTTTCATTCATTTGAAAATATTTTTATTTCATCTTTATTGTGGTGGACAGAACTTGAGCAACCCCCAATAATCCCCACTTTCTGGTATTCACATCCTTGTGTAATCTCCTCTCCTTGAGTGTGGGTGGGACCTGTGACTTGCTTCTAACCAACAGATTACGGCAAAAGTGATAGGTTGCCGCTGCCATGATATGGTACATTATAAAAGACTGTCTTGGTAGCTGACTCTAGTGTCTCTTTTACTTGCTGGCTGAGAGCATGGAGGCTTGCAAAAAGTTTTCTGAACCCACAAAGCAAGAAATTTCAGGCAATATCTAGTTGCTCAGCATGGCCTCAGTCTTGCAGTCTCAAAGAAGTAAATTGTGCCACTAACCCGAGTGAGCTTGGAAGATGATTCATTGTCAGTTCAGCTTCCAGGTGACAACAGATTCCTGGCTCTGACTTCTAATCTACAGAAACTGTGAGGTAATGTGCATATTTAAAAACTACTAGGTTGTGGTAATTGTTACATAGCAATACATTCATTTTCAGGTATATTTTAGTGGATATAGAATTCTGGGTTGACAATTTACATTGTTTTTCTTTTTCTTTTTGGATAGAAGTTCTCACTTTGTCACCCAGGCTGGAGCACAGTGGTGTGATCATGGCTCACTGCAGTCTCAACTTCCTGGGCTCAAGTGATCCTACTGCCTCAGCCTCCCAGATAGCTGGGACTACAGGTGTGCACCACCATGCTGGCTAAGTTTTGTATTTTTTTTCTGTAGAGGTGGGGTTTATCATGTTGCCTAGGCTTAAAGATGTTTTTCTGTTGTCTTTTGTTCTCTATTAGTTCTGATATGAAGTTAGAAGTCATTCAAATCATTGTTCCCATTATGTATTATGTGAATTTTCTCCAGCGGATACCATGATATTTTCTTTATCTTTGGTTTTCAGCAGTTTGGTATGATGTGTCTATATGTGGTTTTCTTTGTATTTTTTTTCCTGCTTGGGGTTTGTTGAATTTCTTGAATCTATAAATTTAAAACTTGCACTAAAAATTTGACCATTATTTCTTGACAAAACTTTTTTTTTTTTTTTTTTTGAGATGCAGTTTCACTCTTGTTGCCCAAACTGGAATGCAGTGGCATGCATGATCTTGGCTTACTGCAACTTCTACCTCCTGGGTTCAAGAGATTCTCCTGCCTCAGCCTCTCAAGTAGCTGGGATTACAGGCATGTGCCACCATGCTCGGCTAAATTTTTATATTTTTAGTAAAGATGGGGTGTCAACATGTTGGTCAGGTAGGCTGGTCTCAAACTCCTGACCTCAGGTGATCTATCCACCTTGGCCTCATAAAGTGCTGGGAATACAGGTGTGAGGCACTGCACCCAACCCATAATTTTTTTTTTTTTTGTCTCAATCTTTTGTTGCCTTCAGGGACTCCAATGATACAAAGTTAAAACTTTTGATATTGCTCCACAGGTCACTGAAATTTCACCATTTTTAATTTTTTTGATTCTTTAGGATGTTCATTTTTAAAAAAATTAAAGATTATTTTATAATGCTTCATGAATGTGCATATCATCTTTGTGCAGGGGCATGCTAATCTTCTCTGCATTGTTCCAATCTTAGCATATGTGCTGCTGAAGTGAGCACAGCCAGGATATTTCTACTGACTGATCTCCAAGTTTGTTGACCTCTGTTACCACTTATCTCTTGTTAAGCCTATCCAGTGAACTTTAAAAAATCCAGATGTTGAATTTTTTAATTCTAGCATGTTCATTTGATTCTTTTTTGTAGTTTCTATTTATCTGTTGTAATTTCTATTTATTCATTTATTTGAAGCATATTTTCAGTCCTTGAGTATTGTTATAATGGTTGCTTTAAAATTATTTTATGCTGGTTGGAATTTCTGAGATGCAGATGCTAAGCCAGAGTTAGAAATACAAAAGATCGATTGTGGTGTGACACCTGTGAAAGAAAATGGGAAGAAACAGGATTGGGCAGGGGAGCAGTCACATCAAGATGAATTCCTGATACTATTTCTGCCAGCCTGACGGGGGAGCTCTGGAGCAACGATTGCCTACTAAGGGAATTTCCCTACTGGGTGCAGTGACTAAGCCTTTGTAATACTGCCTCGCTCAGGCGTTGACTGGAAGCCATCCAGAGAAGATGGGACTTAAAAAACCTGTTCTGTTGTGTTCTTGGCCAGGCGTGGTGGCTCATGGCTGTAATCACAGCATTTTGGGAGGCCAAGGAGGGCAGATCACAAGGTCAGGAGATCGAGACCATCCTGGCCAACATGGTGAAACCCCATCTCAACTAAAAATACAAAAAGTTAGCTGGATGTGGTGGTGTGCACCTGTAATCCCAGATGCTTGGGAGGCTGAGACAGGAGAACTGCTTGAACCCAGGAGGTGGAGGTTGCAGTGAGCCGAGATTGGGCCACTGCACTCCAGCCTGGTGACAGAGCGAGACTCCATCTCAAAAAAACAAAACAAAACAAAATTCTGCTCTGTTTTTTAGGCTTAGCTGGTATAGTCGTTTTTAAATATGTGAATTTGGCTAGGATGAACTACATTACAAACAACTTCTTTACCTATAAATTTTTCGTTAGGGTGGGACATAAGAGAGGTTGTTGCTGTGGGAGATTTGGAGGGCAGAAGTGAAGCAGCAACCATCTTTTAGTTGACATACGCTGTTTCTTACCTTCAGGCTTACCTTTGGGTTCTTGTGTATCCTCGTATTTCTTCCATTCTATTATGTGTGTAATTTCTTGGCCGGGCAGTCCTTGCATCTCAGTGGACTGCAGGGGCTGTTCAGGTACTTCCTCAGTTCAGGAAACTTTTCTTCTGGCAGGTATTTAATTGTTGCCTCTTTTCCTACTCTTACTTTGTCTCTACCTGGAACTTCTGTTCTTTACATGTGAGGACTCCTGGATCTTTCGTCTAAATCTTTTGTATTTTCCAATATTACTTTTATCTCATTATCTTTTTTCTCTACACTTTAAGATTATTTTTGTACTTAATCTTCCAGGTTTCTAATTCAGGGCTCACCAATGATATCCTCTCCTTTAATTTATTTACTGTTTCTTTCCTTTTTTTTTTTTTTTTTTTTGAGACGGAGTTTCGCTCTTGTTACCCAGGCTGGAGTGCAATGGTGCGATCTCGGCTCACTGCAACCTCCACCTCCTGGGTTCAGGCAATTCTCCTGCCTCAGCCTCCTGAGTAGCTGGGATTACAGGCACGTGCCACCATGCCCAGCTAATTTTGTGTATTTTTAGTAGAGACAGGGTTTCACCATGTTGACCAGGATGGTCTCGATCTCTTGACCTCATGATCTACCCGACTCGGCCTCCCAAAGTGCTGGGATTACAGGCGTGAGCCACTGTTACTGTTTCTTTTTTTAAAGCTCAAAGGTTTTTTTTTTTTTTTTTTCTTTTAAAAATAGAAAAAGAGATGGGGTCTTGCTACGCTGGTAGGCTGTTCTTGGACTCCTGGCCTCAGGCGATCCTCCCATCTGTCTTTCAAAGTGCTAGGATTACAGGTATGAGCCACTGCGCCCAGCCAAAGCTCGAAGTTCTTGCTTTAAGCTTCTGAAGTTCTTTTGTGTGTGATGCATTTGTATCTTAAAGCTTACTGTCTTTTTTTTTTTGTGTGTGCCAATGCAGATGTTAATTTATCTCTTCAAGCTCCAGTTCTAGCCAGTAAATGTGTGATATGATTGTTCTACCTCGACCTCCTCTGGAGGTCCCTTTGTTGAACTGTTATCTTTTGGTATCTATTTCTTTGGGTGTAGATCTGGCTGAGAAGTGTCCTTAAAGATGAGGAGGAAGGAAGGGCATCTGACCCTGAGGACCTGTGGTTCATGACAGGCTGCTAGCTCCCTGCCAAGGTATCCACAGGAGGTTTCTCCGCTCCCTGGTCTCTCTCAGACTTGTGGGTGGGAAATCCAACCTATGCTAGCAACTTTCTGCTTGAGTAAAGGTCAGGAAGGCTCAGTAGTCTCATGCAGGGTCTAGGGAGCCAGAAAACCTGACTTTTCCCTGACATGGTCACATTTGACCCTTACTCCTTTATTGCTCATAAGTTAATTGTCCAAGAGGAAGGGAGCTCCCGTGGCAGTGATTTTTGTGGGAATCGGGTCTTGTTCAGGAAAGGCAATAGCCTGGAATTGGGATCCCGGAAGGAAAGGGAGTTCATTCAGGCTCCACTCTCCTCAGAATCCCCTTGTTAAGGTATAATTTCCAAGATATTGAAAACTTAACTTTCTGTATAGTGAGCATGGGTCATAGATTCAATTAACTCATTAATGTGTGAACTGGCAACATGGTAAGATAAAGGGGAGGCATCTGACTTGCAACACCCAGCACTGAAGGACACGTGGTAATTTCTTTGCACCATTTCAAGCGTTGGCTGCTTTTCCTTCATGTCATCCTCTGCTCACGACAGCTCTGAGACTGAAGGTAGAAGCTGATAAAGGAGAGGTTGGGAAAGAGGTGACAGCGTGATAAAGGCTTGGAAAGAACAGAGCTATCTGAGGTTTTCTGCTCGGGAGCCACTATCTCCACTTGCCTATAAGATATCTATGTAGCCGGGTACAGTGGCTCACACCTGTAATCACAGCATTCTGGGAGGCTGAGGCGGGTACATCATCTGAGGTCAGGAATTCAAGATCAGCCTGGCCAACATGGTGAAACCCCGTCTCTATTAAAAATACAAAAATTAGCTGGGCGTGGTGGCTCATGCCTGCAATCCCAGCTTCTCAGGAGGCTGAGGCAGGAGAATCACTTGAACCTTAGAGGTGGAGGTTGCAGTGAGCCAAGATCGCACCATTGCACTCTAGCCTGGGCGACAAAAGTGAAACTTTGTCTCAAAAAAAAAAAAAAAAAAAATTATCTGCTTAAATTTGAAAAATGGGCCCTTCTCGGTGGATGATTTAGAAAAAGCACATGTCTGGGCATCTGCCAGGATAAAGGATTTGGAAAGAACAAGTGGGTTGGATTTTAGTTTCTACTGACACCTTGGGTAGGTGCTCTTGTGCAGTGCACCATCTGCACAACTGCACTGGCAGGCCCCATGGGGGATGGCAACCAGCCTCAGATGGCAGAGGGATGGGACCGCCTCCACTCTGGTAAGAAGGAGAGTTGGAGAGAAAGGAGGCATGGCCAGGAGCACGACAGAGTGAGAGGCATGGAAGGAAGTTGTGGGGTTTCTGTTTGGCATTATTTTCTCTGTGAAGAAGGAGAGAAGCCAAGTGTGAGTGAGGCCCGGAGATTTGGAGGGAGAGGCAGGTCTCCGTGAAGAAGGCAGGAGGGACTAGGAAAATCGGAGAGTTGTTGAGGAATGTCAAGGCCTGAACAGACGTTTCTCTGGAGTGGAAGGCAGGAGGGGGCAAAAGTTAGAAAGTGGGCAGTGAGCTCACTGGGGAAATGGGCCACTCTGAGGCGCAGGCTGGGGAGGAGGGCAGCCATCTGTTGGCCAGACGTAAGACAAAACCCCAGCCGCTTGCTTTCATCAAATAACGCACACCAGCTCTTATGGCAAGAACTTTTACAAATAGTAAGTCATTTGATTCTTAATTGTTACTTCCACTTGGCAGATGAGAAAAGCAAAGCACAGAAAGGTTAAGTGACTTGCTCAGAGTCACACAGCCGGCTAGTGGCAGAGCCAGGGTTTGAACCCAGACCATCTAGGAAGCTACATGGGAAGGATGGTCTGGGTCCTAACTCTTAACTGTGGGAGGCCTTTCCTGACTTTTCTACCAGGGGTGTCTCTGAGATCATGGAATCAGTTTCAAGCGTGAGGCAAGGTGATTTTTTTTTTTTTTGAGACAAGATCTCAGTCTGTCACTCAGGTTCCAGCCTGGAGTGCAGTGGTGCGATCATGTCTCACTGTAGCCTCGACCTCCCCAGCTCAGATGATCCTTCCACCTCAGCCTCCTGAGTAGCTGGGACTACAGGCTCAGACCATCATGGCTGCCTATTTAATTTATTTTTCTTTTTAGTAGAGACAAAGTCTGACTATGTTGCCCAGGCTGCTCTTCAACTCCTGGGCTTGAAAGATCCTCCCACCTTGGCCTCCTAAAGTGTTGGGATTAAAGGTGTGAGCCACTGCACTTGGCCAAGGTGATTCTTTTAAAAGTTCAAAAGGTGATAATTTGTTTTGTTGGGGTGAGTCAGAACATTGTCACATCCAAATGCCATGGGCCATCAGGGAGAATCTAGGAGCCGTGGGGAGGTCTGCTTTCTGCTTCAGGCTTATAGGTAGACCTGGCTGGCCTAGAGAATGGGAAGTGGGGGTCAGGGAGTGACACTCATCTTTATTTATATTTTGGGGGGCTTTAGATTTTGAAATCCTATCTGTACATGCAGAACCCTTTTTGAGAGAAACCATTTTTTCTCGTTCTCATTTTTTTAAAGTTAGAAAAACATGCGAAAATCAGCTTTCTAACAATCTTAGTCCTCATTTTATAAAACACATTTCCTTGAAGCTACCGGCAGTATCACTTCTGTCAGCCACCAGCCTTGTAAAAGGAATAAACTCATAATCACCCCTCTATGGGAATGAGGTCAATTTCAATGACTGTCTAATAAAGGAGTAAACTCAACATTAAAAAAAATCAGAATCCCTAGGAACCCTAGAGGCAAATGGCAA